AATCAGCAATAAACAATAAACTTACATTAATATGTTAACACTATTTCACAATTACCTCTTTACTTTGTACAAAGTGCACATACCTGAGTGTCTCTCTGTGCAAAGTACAGCCAGAGATAAAGTATCGGGCTTTGTTCTATTTACTTTAAAATGAAAAGCTACGTCTCAGTTTCAAAGTGATCAAATTCTCTTTACCAATCGTCTGCTCCATTAAGCATAATTCACAAGGTTTAATCTTTTGGCCAATTTAAATGAAGGAACATTAAATTTTTATGCTTGAATAAAGCCAAGAGACTACATAGCAAAGAATAAGCTAATGGTTCTTACCTGATTCCACCCAGTATATCAAACAGATGAAGAAACACAATTTCAGCATGGGGAAATGGAGAAAAGCAATACGTAATATCCACAGACAAGTGGCAAATCTAGTGTTTCCTTACAGTATGCTGGATTCTAACTGACTGCCACTAATGAAGTAAGTGACATGTAGAGTAGGAAGCAGAAAGCAAAGCTGTATTCAAGCTTCTGCAATTCATGACTCCTCCTATTGAATGACTTCAGTAGGTAGGGTGGTTTCTGGTCTTTACAGGTTGGGACTGGGTTTTAATCTATTTCCCTCTTTCTTTGGCTATCAGCAGATTTACACGTAAGCAATCAATGTTACATATTACTGACAACTCTGTTACACATGTGGAATTTAGGAAGCAGAGTAACTAAAGGTATATCACACTAGAGACCCACCGTGTGTCTTTTTTTAAGCGTGCCACTCAAGTGCAATTTGAGACACTGAGATGGGCAAAATAAACTTAGAAGAAAAAGTCGTTCTGGTGACAGAAAGATTTTTGTCTAAGAACTTGAAAATAATTCTGAGAACTCCATCTCCGTGGATTATTTTTGCACAAAATTATCTTCTGAACTTTTTTCCAATGAGTCATTCTCTAATCTAAATCCAGAGGAGGTGTGTGAAAGTGCTTATATGGGAGAGAGATGGAGCTCAGAGCCCCACAAATCTCATCCAGGCACTGACTTGCTGGGTGTTTTGGGTATGTAACTTCATTCCCTCTGGGTCCCCAGCTACAAAACAGATGAAGAACCATTTATTTTTGTGAAGCTTATTTATTTACACATCAGTTCACTGGGTAAATAAACACAAGAGGACAAACTTCAGTTTCTTGGAGTTAATGGTGAGGCAAAGAGGCAGATAAACTCTATGTTATTCAAGTGAGATGTCTGGATGCTTGGTTTGTCTATATCTGGCCCCCAATTATTTCCACTGCAGGAAGAACAAAAACAAACCATAACCACTCAAATATGAGAGAGACACATCCCAGAAACGTCTTTTTGCATAGTGTATCCTTCACAGTGCTTCTAAACATAAGGTTGAGGTCTCCTTTTTCTCCATACACAACAGTTAAGGGGGGGTAAGACTGTGTTTCATTATTTACTTTTAAGTGATCAGTCTCTTCAGCTGGCTTTCTGATTCTGAGCAGCCCAACAAAGCTGTGCTACACAAGCTCCTGCAGCAGACAGCCTTTAGGAAATCTCTTCAAAGTCTTTTTCTCTTTGAATGCAGCCACAAGGAGAAGATGCAAGATGTCCACTCATATGAAAATCAACTCATCTTAAACAGTGACCTTTCATTACTTTTGTGCTTCCATTTCTCAAATTTGTCACTCTATTCTCAGTAAACTTCACTAAGGCAGCTCTTGTTATTCCTTTGCATTCCCTCTTCATCTCAAATCTTTGACACTTTGTCCAACTATTCTCATAAAAGCACAGCCCTACCAATGTTACATATTATTTGGAACAAGTAATGGTATAGTGTCGATTTGGCTCTTTCTCCTCTCTACTTTTTAAAATATTGTTACAACAAAAACTTAGTGCACCCAAGCAACCACCAGCTATGCAGCCTCAGCACTCACTCAGTGTGCAGTACACATTCATATACAAGTTAAAATATGGAGAGCTCAACACCACTGAAAATGAATCTGTAATAGCCCCAGTAAAATATCTGCTATGCTTATTCAAGAGCCAATCAACTGATCTTAGAAGAAAATCTTATAGATGTACCTTTACATATACCTAATGCCACCAGTTGTGAATAAATTAACACTTGTTCTTTTACATATGAACGGGGAAAAGAAACGAAATTTTAAGTTTCCTCTTGAACTGAAAACCAGTAAGCCCAGCTCACATGGAAGTAAAGTACTGTGCTACGCATGTTGACATAACAACACATAAAACAGTTTTAAAGCCCCCTGAAATAAGTTTCAGGAAAGGACTCCTTTACTAAATCAACACCCAGAAAGTTTTTTGTTATTAATCAGGGTATTGAACTCAGGCTTGTTGGACTTACCTCTTCGTCATACGTCAAGGGGACTTCGTTCACCAACAGTGGCACTTATGCCACTTAGAAATTCCTAAATCTTAATGACCATTACTGTTTACACTGTGGTTTCTACTGATATCCCACTGTCAGGTAAATCCTTCAAGGAGACTCTGAGTTTCAGGCACACTGTCACCAACAGATACGAGACCCTCAAAGTTCAGCTACTGCCCATCCCACTTCACTGCATATTCTCCTGTCCACTGCTTTTCTCACATGTGTACACTTCTCTCACTGAAATTCAGTTACCTCCACCAAAAGTGCCTTACGCAAACCAGTGGAGGATGCTGGCACTGCCTCTTCAGCACTCGGTGTCCCACAGTGCTCAGGACTGTAGGGGTTGTACCTCCTGAACGAACGCTGATGGTTTGGGGAGATCCCACAGTCCACCAGCAATGAAAAAACCCTCAAGATTGGCCAAGTATTCAAGTTGAAAAGAAAAATATAAAAACTTGATTTTATTACAGTACAAGATTACTATGATTTACAGGTAAGAATGGCACTTTTACACTTCAGTTTTCCCCCAAAACTTTCTGATAAAGTAACAGCTAAAAACATTGCAGCATGGTTTTCAAGATTAAGATCGAATTCTTATGCAAGCCTTGATATCCTGATCTGTGGTCACACGTAAATATATTTCCTCTTCTAATCTTCTCTCTACCCACAAGGATTTTGCAATCTTGGGAAATCCCATTCTTATAACAATTCTTACGAATCAAGCCACTTCTCCAGAAAAATTCCTAACCACTAGCTTGAGAGCATTGCTCCCTTTCAGGGAAGGCCAAATCACAACCCAGCTTTTGCAATGCCGTATGTTTAACTATGAGGAGGGGGGAAAAAAAAAAAAAAAAAAAAAAAAAAAGCTGTCTAAAGATTACCAAGGGAAGAACCCTGGTTGGTTGGAAGAAATGTAAGACTCGTTAGGTATTCTACACTGAGGCTTGTAGTTCCTGTAAATCGATAATCCCTTTCTAAATAGACTTGACAAGCCAGTTAACTAAGCTTCCATTAGAAAATAATGAGGCAAAAGCACACTGTTTATGCTTGGGAAAAAAACATAAATTCCTTAGCAGTATTTTTCACATTTCTGTCATCAGGGTGACTTCTGAAAACGTTCTCCTTTATAAAATAATTCTTTAAAAACATACACTGAATGTTGAATGTACGTGCTTGAGACCTGTTTGTAGTAACCGTGCAACAGCAGACTGTAAGGCAGGTACCACTTCCGCTGTGAAGACAGCAATCATAGCTCCGTTCTTTTTAAATTTTAAGAAACGTACAACATCCCACACTTTACCTGTGTGTTTTATTACTACCACAACGCTTTATCACACTGACGCAGCCTCTCCCCCAAAGCGCTATTAAATAGAGACGCGACTTCCGGCGGGACCCGCGCCCCGAGGCCTTCCCCTGTGCCCGGCCCCCTCACACCCCGCCCGCACGACACTCCGCCCCTCGCCCGAG